CAAAAGCAAACAAACCTCCATCCAGACTCCGTGACATTGTGTAGCGCTTGCTGGTCGAACGCTCAAAGTACGGCGCCGGACGGACGATCTGGGAACTGGCCCGTCTGGTCTGAGCCTGAGTTCTGCCGCTGTAGCGGAACTTAGAACCCAGTGTGAGGAACTTCTTAGGCGGAGTCTCTGGAGAAACCAACCTGTCGAGACGCAAACCATGATTACCACTGAGCACAGAACACAGCAAACATACAGAAGCACAGGAACCTCTACAGACCTGAAGAACGTGTGATGCTCCACACAAACCTTCCACAGCCTCTTGGCCGCTCTGTGGTTGGGTAGTTTAAAGCCTATCGTGCTTTCAAACTGCTCAAACTAGAGACAAACAAAGGTTCTCTTGTCAGCAAACTTCACCAAAACTGTGAAGGTCACCTGGAGAAGGCGTGATGGTGTTCTCACTTCGCCTGGACGGATCTTGATGTAGAAGTTATTGCGTTTGTAGGAGATCTTGAGGACTTTGGGCCAGGCGAAGCGGTTGATGCGAAGTCTGTCGCGGTAGATGAGAAGCCCGGAGGAACACACGCCCAACATGATCTCCACCCCCTCTGAATCCTGACCAACCATTGGATTAGAGAGGTGCCAATCATCATCACACAGTCATGCACAAACAAACGCGTGGTTTCTAAATGAATGAGTGGAAGCCTTTTGGCTTGAGAGGAACAGAGAGAGATACTGTGATGTTGTCATGTGTTTGTGTACTTTGCGTCATTATCGCTATTCATCACTGCATTCACAATCTCACATGTGTAATGCTATTGAAACCCAATGAACCGGCGCCAGATCTGAAATACTTCTGAAGAGCATCAGCTGAGCAGACGTGAGAACTTGAGCTCCATTCAGCAGAACTCCAGCACTTCTAAAACCATCCATGGAGCTAATTCACATCACACAAGAAACAAGGGGGATTGTGGGAAAAATGGCACAGTTCACATCTCTAGTGGGTATTTAGTGGGAAACTGGGTCACGAACAACGATGAAGCTTTCAAAACTCACTCAGAGGAAAACTGTACGACTCTCATTCAAGTCTCAACTTGGTCTCCTAAAATGAGACACAAATTCTCAAGGGTTCAGGAGATGTTCTACTATAAAATGTATGTGAAGCAGCTCAGATAATTTGATGAGAAGTTAATAATGAGATCTCCGACTTTTGATTGCTATCTTGGCAAATCTGAGCTCATGTTGAGACAGTATTAAGATCTCTTCTGAAGTGTGAAATTACTGGGCTCTTTTTCTCAGGAGAAAACAAATGTATCTTATTAGTGTCTCTGAGAAATAACTGAGATTGTAAAGCAACAGTACAGCCAAAAATAATCATCCTGTCATGATTTATTTATCCTGATGTTCCAAACCTGTTTGGCTTTCTTTCTTCTGTGGAACACAAAAGATAATATTTTGAAGAACGCTGGAAACCAAACAACTTCGTATCCCATTTCTCAGAATATATTCTTTTTTTGTCCACACAGTGAAAGTCAATGGGGTCCAAAGTTGTTTGGTTCGCGACATTCTTCGAAATACCTTTATTTTTTGTTCCACTGCAGAAAGAAATGTCATGAGGGTGCTTAAATGATGACAGAACGTTCGGTTTTGGTTAAGCTATCCATTTAAAGAGCACTCATGTGTGATTTTTCTCTTCTATGGGCAGGGCTGGATCCACAGGCGCTCATGGTGAACGGGTTCGACTCTCCTGTGAGCTTCTACTGAGGAGGTTCTCTCAACAAACAGTCTTTGCTTAGACAATGACTTCAGTTCATGAATGAGTCATGTGAGACACACACATAGAGAACACACACACACACACACACACACACACACATATACACAAATGCATCTTACCTCTCCTTTAGCTGGAGAAAAGCAGTGAAAGAATCGTCCTATCAACTAGATCATCAGTAAGAGGGGAAGAAGAGAAGAGCGGCTGATCTAACCGAACGTACGTCACACGTTCATGCTTCAGCTGTGTGTCTGCTGTTATTCTGTTTAACCACTACATGAGATGATAGATGACATGAAACATCATCTGTGTGTGAATATCGGCAGAAGAGCTTCATGACTGCGGCCACATTCACCGAATCCAATTAAACCAGCCTCAGCTAACATAAACTAACAATGAACAGTTGCATTTTGTTATTAAATAACAAAGATTAATAAACACTGTAACAAATCTACTACACATTAATATTAGTTAATGCATTGAAAAGTTAAAAAATTAAAGTTTTACTGAAATATGTTGATTTTAAACTACTGAAGGTTTCAAAGAAATCGACCAGCAGAGAGACTGACGCGACACGTTCTGCCAATATTCAGAAATGTTACTTGAATTCTTACATTTTTAGACTTCATCGCTAACTATCTTGACTATTTGGTCACATCTTTGCTATAAAAACTCACCCAAACGCTCTGTCATGTGTGTGTTTGTCTCTATCTGGTTTGTGACGGTCGATTGTGACCCAGAACGACCGGCCCGAAGCAGAATCTGATTCATTCTGACTGAGCTGAACATCTGACAGATCGACTGACACCAGAAACAATGACAACGATTAACACTGAACACTGATTATTAACGAGTCACTCGTCAGTGAGAGGGTTTGAAAGGCCGTCGGTCTGTGTGTGTGTGTGTGTGAGAATACAGACACACATTTACATGCAAAACATTACTTAAAGAATAAATAGACTTATGTCAGATATATTAAAGGAATAGTTCACCCACAAAT